GACCTACTCACACTAGTTCAGTTCAACTAGGTGCCTTGGAGGACGCTAACACCTTTACATATTTGGGCAGCATCATCGACAATCAAGGTGGATCCGATGCAGATGTGAGGGCGCTGATTGGCAAAGCAAGGACTGCATTTCTACAGTTGAAAAATATCTGGAACTCCAAACAACTTTCAACCAAAACCAAAATCAGAATTTTCAATACAAATGTCAAGACAGTTCTACTGTATGGAGCGGAAACCTGGAGAACTACGAAAGCCATCATCCAGAAGATACAAGTGTTTATTAACAGTCGTCTACGAAAAATACTTCGGATTCGTTGGCCAGACACCATCAGCAACAACGTACTGTGGGAGAGAACAAACCAGATTCCAGTGGAGGAGGAAATCAGGAAGAAGCGGTGGAAGTGGATAGGACACACACTACGAAAAGCACCTAACTGCGTCACGAGACAAGCCCTCACATGGAACCCTCAAGGCAAAAGGAAAAGAGGAAGGCCAAGGAACACATTACGCCGAGAAATAGAGAAAGATATGAGAAGAATGAACAAAAATTGGACAGAACTGGAAAGTGAAGCCCAGGATAGGGTTGGTTGAAGAAAACTGGTCGGCGACGTGTGCCCCATCGGGGGTAACAGGCGTAAGTAGGTAAGTTAGTTCTACTACCTTACTTGTTTGGTTAATCATGAGTCAGAAATGTTTCGCTAATCCAAAATCTATTCTTTACACTATTCACATCTCAAAACGCTAACCATATGTATGCATAGCTATTTAGTTCTGATATACTTAGAATTGATCTACTCACATTAGTTCAGTTCAACTAGGTTCTGATTCGTTTCTAATATAAACATCTGTTACTGTTATTTTTGTCGACTAGTTAAAAAAACAGATGGAGTTTAGACTCGATCAATATTTTTCATAATGATTTTCCATTATTCATCATCATTGTCTTGTTGTCATTAAACTGACACGAACATGTATAGATCGATAAAAAATTAAGCTGGTAATTGAACATAGATACATCAACCACAAAACCTAGATTTGTATGACCTTGGAATAAGGAATAGAGGTTAATAAGTAAAGTGTAAATTAATTTATATCATATTATCAATGAAATTATATATACAAATAAATGAACACATTTACATGTATACATGTTTCAAGGGCTAAAGGTTATTTATAGTTTTAATTCATACGAACAAAAATACTCTACAAAAGTTGAATGTACAAATTTTCGCTAGGTGATAATGCACACAATGACCTTGAAAGAGCACTAAAAAAAATTTGTGTCCAATTAGAATGAACTAATTTCATAAGGAATTAGTTTGGGTTATCAGAAAAAAAAATAATGGTCTTTTATTTATTGAGTGAAATATATATATGACTATTTAGTAAACATTGATAAGACAATAAAAACGGATGATCGATATCTCAGTCAGTCAGATGCAACGTAGAACTTCGTACGTAAGTAGATCAGTTCATGTTGCCATACAACATCAGCACACAGAGATATAATTGTCAATTCAAATCCAATAGAGTAGTAGAGGTAGTAAATGTATTAGAAGTAATCGGAGAGGTTAGAATTGGACAATATTATTCAAGAATTAAGATTCAGTGAGATAACTTACGAAAGTCAAAACTAGAGGGGTTGAAGAATCCAGAAGATTAGCATTTGAGAGAACACAAAGAATAAATGCACCGGCGCCATTGCAAACGGTTTTGAGCCATGACATTCAGAGTCTATAACCATCGATTATTATCATCTCGCGGACCCCAACCAGGTAGTCGACAATTACCGACATGTCTAAGTCCACTCGTCAATGACTTCATGGATTTCTGCCATGATTTGGTTTGGTCGCCCCTAGCTTTCTTCCAACCTACTCCTACACCACAAAACAAAGTTCGACGAGGCAGTCGGTGGTTAGGCATACGCAGCACATGTCCCAACCACCTCAACTGATGAAGTTTCATTACTTCATCTATTGATCTGCCATTCTTACCTAGTACCTGTCTCGTAATAACAGCGTCGCTCAGTCGGGTGTCCCACGATATACGAGCAACGTTGCGAACACATCTATGATCGAAAACCAGGAACCTAAGTATATCTTCTACTCTCACTGGCCATGTTTCACAGCCATAAAGTAAGACGGAGCGAACCACTACATAGTACACTCGCCCTTTAGTCAGCAAACGGATATCTCGCCTACGACATAAGTGACGCAGGTTGGCAAAAGCCAGTCGAGCCTTCTGTATCCGTGCTGAGATTTCGTCAGTCACCAGGCCATCAGCACTGATGAGACTCCCCAGATAAGTGAAGCGGTCAACACGCTCGACTACTTCACTCCCTATCATTAGTTCAGGTGCCGAAGAAACCCAATCTTGAAGCAACATTTTGCATTTCGACGGGGAAAGTTCGATATCTATTTAACTCAACATTTTTCACAATTATATAGAAATTAACTCTCTATTGTCACGGGCAATTTTACACAAGTTTTCAGGAGAACCAAGGAGACTGCTCTCAAGTTACCATTTTGACATGAACAGTTCGGCTCAATTCCTTAGTATAACCACACAAGGTACCTGATACCCTGGTGGACCATTCACACCATTTATATATACACTAGTACATGTATAGTGATTATTTCCGATCCATGATCGCGTCAATCACTATGCATAGCATGAAAAGGCCAATCTGACTCATCCCGCTTACATGACTGTCAAACTCATTATTATTAGCTGTGGTGATATGCAGCAATACAACACCCCAATGACTATGGCCCTTCGGGAATGTTGCAAAGCGACTACTAGTACTATAGATGAAATCGGTCGCCCTGCTAACTAATTTTGCATATGGACTGTTAGCGATGCTTTGTAAAGCTATATCAAACCATCTACAATGTTCACGGCGAACCTCTGGTCTAGTTGGAAATCTTCAGCTCTATATAACAGTATAGCATATGGTATACACGTAGTATGGCGTAGGATAGCAGAAGATACACTCCAACTTGATGCGAACAAGCCCAGACACTCTTAATACCCTTTATCTCATTTCGGGTAATGATTGTATCGCAATAGCGAAATTTTCATTTTTCGACCATATGAAATCTGAGTTTTTTTGGAGCATAGTATTCCTCTATTCAACTCATAACTATTTTAATAAAAATGTTTTATCCTAATAAAAAGCGGATATTTGCATTCAGTTGTAAACATTTTTGACTCCATTGTTATCTTTATTGATTTTGTCATCTGTATGAGGCAGTAATAATAAAAATTGTAATCAAATTGAAGTTTCACACTAATGGAGGAAAAGAAAAGTATAATACTCCGCGCATTGTATTTTTGCAGTAATTAAACTTTTATCAACTTGTATGAGCGCATACAGTTTGCATACATAATCAACTAGTCAAAACTAATTTAAACTTTTTTTTGTACAGTTGAGAAAAGAAGTTGACTCAAAAATTTGAGCAAAAATCCAGGGTTGTTGCAAAAATTCAAATCCATCCAGGGTAAATGAATAATGTAATTTTTAAAATCAATAAAACCAGTACCTGAGAATATAATGAAGAAAAGTTAGGTGATGATATTAAATTATTTGTGAATTGAATGAAATCTCTAGCTTAAGTAGGTTCAAATTTCCAATAAATTCATTTTGAGCTTTAATTACTTTTTTTTTTACTTACGCCTGTTATCCCCAATGGAGCTATAGGCCGCCCACCAGTTTTTTTCCCAACCAACTCTGTCCTGGGCTTCCCTTTCCAGTTCTTTCCAATTTTTGTTCATTCTTCTACTGTCTTTCTCCATATCTCAGGCGTAATGTTTTTCATTGGCCTTCCTCTTTTTATTTTACCTTGAGAGTTCCATGTGAGGGTTTGTCTTGTGACGCAGTTCAGTGCTTTTCGCAGTATGTATCCGATCCACTTCCAACACTCCTTCCTGATTTCTTCCTCTACTGGAAACTAGTTTATTCTCTCCTACAGTAAGTTGTTGCGAATGGTTCCTGGAACAGTTTGAGCTAGAAATCGTTATTTATGGGATGCGATTTATTGCATCAGTACATTTAAATGAAATACTATTAAAACTGAAAGATCTGTTGTTTTGTTCTGACAGAAAATGCATTTAGCGCAAAACAATAAGTATGATATAAGCTTTGACAATAGGATGCGTTATTCAGTTCGCTAATCTGTCAATGAAATTAAGTCATGGGTAGTTTGTGTATATTATGCCTGGTATACTAAGTAATTGAATTCGAGATATTCGTTATCAGATATCTCAGTTGCACGATTGATATACAACTGCTTAGCTACTAATATTTTGATGAACATTGTGTTTATCACATAATACTGATAACTGACTGGAGTTGAAAGCATCCACTACCAGAATTCCAGTCGAGTGGTTTACTGCTGTGCGCTCTGAATAAAAAGTCTGAACGTACTAGGTCTATTTACTTGACAGAGTCATGCTTGCTTACTATTGAAGACCCTCAAAGGAAAGTATAATAGCTATCTATTGTTCCCTGGTTCTTGACAGTGCTTCAAATGATTCCAGACCACAAATGAAGAATAATCAGTAATATAAGTGGACATAATCAAGGCCTTACATCTCAGGTAAACGAGAAGCGAATAGAAAAATGCTATTAGCTTGCAACAGTCCTACCACATAATGAATTATGACCAGAATGCTTAGGAAACGTTACTTTTGTGTTGTGTCCTAAAACTGTATGACTCATGATACTCCCCATTGTTCTTAATCGGATATATTTAATCATAAAACACTTTTAGTGCATTTAACCTTTCTCGACATTATAGGTCAAACAATAAAGCTGCTGATTGACGTAGACATTGGCCTTTTTTGATCTGACCAATTAGAAGTAAGAACAATGATTGAATTAGCCAATCAGAAGGTTCTGCTAGATTTATCTTGTTTCATGTGAATTTTTTAGGGGGCTGACTACAGCTTACAACAGGTGATTTTTTCCTTCTAAAGAGATGGTTAGCATTACAAAATCAGAGTATTACTGTATCGTTTCGGACAATATATTTTGATTATACTAGCCAAGGAAGTATTTGAATATTTCTCTATGATATATAACAATTCATATACTCTATTTTAACATACATTCAAGTAAATGATATTCATGTCCCAAGGCTTATTTTCAACTTCATGTTTACTTAAAAGGTATGTTTGATCATAATTAACAGATAGCTAGGTTCATTTTATGATGTATTAGTAAACATGATTTTGTTTCAATGTTCTATCATCTTTTTTATATATATTTGCATACACAAAGAACAAAACTGCTTTCGGTATTATTGAGTCCTCTGAATAATTAAGAAACCGTCATTGTTGTATAAGTAGACACTGATGATGTTATGTAGTTGAATCGTTTAGTTTAGAGAACGCGGCACTATTATTTTAAACTTTTATACCATTTAACTGTTTTGCACTAAATAGTGTCACCATACCAAAATATTTTCCTTTCCAAGAAAAGACAAGAATTCTAATAAATTTAACTCCCAGTACAGTTTTCACTATGAATTAATATCAGCCTTAAAAACTGCTGGATGTCAGAAATGCTAGACATATGTTTCTTTGTAGTTCAAAACTAATCAAACGTTTGTACGTATAACATTTCCAGAGACCGAATCTACAACCTTAAGATTCTCAGACAACATTATACATGTAAAGCTGTTATTTCTGGTTACAATGAATCACATTTCTATTCAGCTGAGCTATAATACAGTGAGATCCCTAGTCGATTCGACAATAAGGCAATAGATTATTGGTGACACCGACTCGTGAATGTAGATTTTCTCTTTTTTTGAGGCTATCATTGTTCAGAGATGATCGAATCTGTCACTGATAACTAGTTGATTTTAGCATAAAGTCAAAATTATTCATAACTTGTCACACAGTTTGTGATTATTCTCAGATACTGCAACAGATAAATTTATATTTGTAGGGTAAATACCTAATGCAAGGTATTTCATAGAGTTCTAGCGAAAAATAGTGGTCAATGAAGTTCATTCATGTTGGACATGAAATAACTGGATAGTGAATATAAACAAATGTATACCACTTCCATGGCCTGAAGTTTAAACACTTGTTGCAAGGTTTGAAAGTACTGGGCTCGATCCATGAGGTGGTTGTAGATGGACAAGGTTAAATATTTCATACTTGGTCCAAATAGTTGTTCATTGTTCACTGGTCATTAATGACTATCAAACCAAAGCCTAGTCTATAATATAGAACTATGAATTTAAACTTTTCACAGACCTTTGTACCTTAAAAAAGTTCAATAGTAGCCATAATGCGGTATGGCAACTTGAACTTATGTACTCATGTTCAAAGTTCTACCTTGTAACTGACTAACTGATCACAAATTCATCACAATTTTAATATATCGACTTGAAATTTATTGATACATGCATACATATTGGTATGAGTCATATAAATACCTCTTTACTTACTTACTTACTTACTGACGCCTGTTACCTCCAATAGAGGATAGACCGCCCACCAATGTTCTCCAACCAACTCTGAGCAAAATACCTCTAGTTATTAATTATTATATATTCAGTGCAATTAATGAGGATGGATTAGTTGTTTGAAGCGAAGAAGGAAATTCCAGTTTCAGCTTCAATTTTATCTTTAACACTAAGGTGTATTATTTACATTTACGTGAAGAGTCACATACTGGATATAGACGCCCATCCTGGATTCTACATTCCAAGGTATAAACCAAACATATATTTATACACTAGTTCAAATTCACATTTTTAAGATTTGAAGTAATAACTTTGAAGTCATTCATTTTCAATAACATAGACTTTCTATCTGTTCGTAATTTTTTCATTCTAGTATACTTCAGTACAAGTGTTATAGTTGTGTTCATACTCAAAAGATGCTAAGATCCTTTTAGAATAAATAAACTATTGTATGAAGTTTATAATTTTTCTCTTTAATATTTCAAATGAAGTTACTCAATGTGAAGTTGATGCATAGACCTTAAAAGAAATTCTTCATACATTTTGTATACATGTTCAATAAATTTTTTGATATCGATTTGCAGTTAGAGCTTTAGAGATTTGTGTTTTTACACATTTGAAATCATCAATTAATCATTGCTGGACCACCATTAGAAACTTGGAATCACTGGAGGACCGTTTCGTACTGGTATAGGACTCATCAGTAGTGCGCATCCACGACTCCTGCACCTCGCGGGATTCGAACCCGGGACCTTCGATCTTGCACGGGAGCGCCTAACATCTGGACAGCTGGACCGGATCCCAAAGGCAGTAATGTCTAACTCTGATTGATCTAGGGATTTTGTGCGACCCCATCCATTTGTCTTTCGTAGTTACTGCTTCACCCGAACAGGTTGAACTTCACTGGTCACGTCTTCCCACTAGAACTCGGAGAAGATTCCTCACGAAGCTAGTCACTAGTGAGCACTGCTACGATATTTTCAGTTAGAGTTATGGAGATTAGTGTTTTTACACATTTGAAATTACCAACCAATCATTGTTAGACTACCATTACAAACCTGGAAGCACTGGACTCATTGGGACTCATCAGCAGTGCGCCCCAAGGACTACTGCATCTCGCAGGATTCAAACCCAGGACCTTCGGTATTGTGCACGGACGTCTAACAATGATTGATTGATGATTTCAAAAGTGTAATAGTTGTATTTTACAGATCCGTTATTCGAATATATCTGGAATATCAAAATATGTTGATAGACGTTAATCAGTTGAGTTATGCATAAAAACTATTGGAAAGTTCATGCTCACACAATGAAACTAGGACTTAAGAATCACATTGTTACTTTAAGAATACATCGAGCTTGACTTTGTACCGTGCTTTTATCATAATATCCTCTCTGACATATTCTAATAATTCAAAGATACCTTGGACAAAGTTTTGAACAGGATAACATGAATTTATTTTATTCTACTCAAATCTTTGTTCTTGTTATCTTCAAAATGATGAAGGAAACAATGTGTATGAAATTTGGACAATGAACAGTTATTTTGTCCCAGTATTTGAATCCTTTAAGAGTGGAAAAATTTCGGAGCAACACAAGATGGGATTTCTTAGTTTTTAGTTTCTGGTGGATATGGAATCACCAATTCCATGATGGTCGGTATTCGATATATTCTTAAATTTCGTGTACTGCTCTTACAGATGTCCACACCAGATAACACCAAACGGTTTATAAATTAGACGATTAATACGAAGCGTTACAGATGTTTATTATCGCATCACACACAGATCACATAACCACATGCATACGAAGTGAAAGTTGAAATGAAATCAGAGTGCCGAAGAACAAACAAGTGACAGAGCGAGTGAGTAAACCAGTGAGCGCCCTAGTGAGTAGGATTAAAATGTACGTATACATGCGTAGGAAAATGAATGAGTCATCGAATTATCTAAGAGGCTAACATTAAAGCGAGTCGAAAGAATAAATGTGTAAGCGGAAGAAATGCTCAATCATGACAATAATAACACCACAATGGTATAGATAAGTTTTCGTTATACAAATGACTGTATTAAGTTAATAAAAGGGCTTAAGTAAACTACTTACTTACTTACGTTGTAGCTGATGGTGTCTGGCCAACGAATCCGAAGTATTTTGCGTAGACAACTGTTAATGAATACTTGTATCCTCTGGATGATGGCTTTGGTAGTTCTCCATGTTTCCGCTCCATACAGTAGAACTGTGTTGACATTTGTATTGAAAATCCTGATTTTGGTTTTGGTTGAAAGTTGTTTGGAGTTCCAGATATTTTTCAACTGTAGAAATACAGTCCTTGCTTTGCCAATCCGCGCCCTCACATCTGCATCGGATCCACCTTGATTGTCGATGATGCTGCCCAGATATGTAAATGTGTTAACGTCCTCCAAGGCATCTCCATCAAGAGTGATTTGGTTGGTGCATGTTGTGTTGCATCGGAGAATTTCGCTTTTTCCTTTATGTATGTTGAGACCTACTGCTGCAGAGGCTGCTGCTACACTGGTCGTCTTCTCTGGCATTTGTTGTTGAGTGTGTGATAGAAGAGTCAGGTCATCTGCGAAGTCCAGATCGTCCAGCTGCGTCCTAACTGTCCAGTTGATACCGTGCTTTCCTCCAGATGTTGACGTTTTCATAATCCAGTCGATGACCAGGAGAAGGAGAAAGGGTGAGAGTAAGCAACCTTGCCTGACACCGGTCTTCACCTCGAAAGAGTCTGTCAGCTGACCTCCGTGCACGATTTTGCAGTTGAATCCATCATAAGAGTTCCGTATGATGTTAACTATTTTCTCAGGCACACCGTAGTGTCAAAGAAGCCTCCACAGTGTTTTCCTATCCACGCTATCGAATGCTTTCTGGTAGTCGATGAAGTTGATGTAGAGTGGTGAGTTCCATTCAATTGATTGTTCCACAATGATCCGTAATGTTGCAATTTGGTCAGTACACGATCGATCCTTACGAAATCCGGCCTGTTGATCTCGAAGTTGGGCGTCGACGAAGTCCTTCATTCTGTTAAACAATACCCTGATGAGTGATGCCTCTGTAGTTCTCACACTTGCTGAGATCGCCTTTCTTTGGTATTTTGATGAGGTATCCTTCTTTCCAATCTGATGGTACTTGTTCCTCATCCCAGATCTTCTTGAAGAGGATGTGAAATATTTTCGCATTTGCTTCTACTGCTTTCATTGTCTCTGCTGGAATGTTGTCTGGTCCTGCTGCTTTGCCGTTCTTGATTTGTCTGATGGCCATACTGATCTCCTCAATCGTAGGTGCGCCAATATTAATTGGGAGATCCGTGGATGCTGCTACGATGTTGGATGGGTTCTTAACTAAATTAAACAGGCTCAAATGTATGTGAGATGCTACAAGTTATCATGACGATCATGATTACAATTGGTCATTAATTTTCATTTGACTCTGCATTATCCACCTAAGAGTTTCTATGATTACATAATAATCTGAGTGTTTATACCTAATTGATTAACAGAATGAATGGTGAAGGAAAGCAATAAAGTCCAACTATAATAGAAACTTAATATGAGTAAAACTATTCGATGATCACAATTAAGATTGGGATGTCAACAAACTTCATCATCCATTGACTAATGCTTTATTAAAAATCAACAAAAAATCTTAGAAATCAAAATGAGATCACAGATT